CAGCGAATCCTTCTTGTATTGTTAGTCCTTTGAAGACATCTGATACGTATCATACTGCTGATTCTGGTAACTACTAGTTAACCATAATTAATATATTTTATGTGATATATTTAATCCACTTAACAATTATTAACTTAAATATTAACAATTTAATATTATATTCATATGTTACTTCGGATTTAATTTATTTACTTTTATTTTAATATCTATATTTTTATTTAATACAATATATTGTTGCTGTATATTTTATGTTTCATTCTTAATATTTTATAATATTGTTATACCGCCTGACAATAATTAGAAATGATTTTTTTTTGACAGATTGCTCAACCGACAAAGAAGCTAATATGGATAACAAAAAATGTGATAAAGTAAAAGACAATTGCGAGGTAATGGTCTCTAATATATCATGTTCAGTTTTTTATTTGTATAATTTTGCATCATTTACTATCTTAAATTTCGCAATCATTAATTAATCTTTTGTTGGTTTTATTTCTTTTAAAAATATCAGATTGATTAATGTTAATTTCCAGCCCAGTACAAAACAGGCTAAAAATGCTTCAAACAAAAATTTGGTCTATGACGATCCCCTTCACTGCCATTTAAATAAAGAGACACCGACAAATAATTTTAACACTATAAATATATCGAGTAATGAAATATCAAGTGTGCCTTCAGAAATAAGTTTGACAGAAGATATAGAAATTAATAATTGTAAATCAAATACTATGAACAATAAAACTGCAGTGCCTTTAAGAACTATGCAAAGAATACAACATAAATAGCAAGACAAAAATGATTATTATGAGAATTTTGGAAGCTCAGAATTCGAAAGAAGCTTTAGATAAGCAGATTGCGGTTGGTATAGATTATAAATATATAACTTTTTTATAGTTTTAATTTTTTATTTATTTCTTTAATTACTTTGCATTTTTCTTTTTACGTAACTATTGTCCAGGTATTTATTTTAATAATTTATTTTAATTGTAGGTCTCTCTTTATATTTATTGTAATTGATAGCTGCTTCTACTTTAGTTTGATATTTAAAGAATTTTTAATTTCACTCTTTATATTTTGAGTTATAATTAATGGATAAAGAGTTTATGATTGACTTTCTCTTCTGTCATAGTACTGAATTTGAATTTAAGTATTTTCATTTTATCAATTATAGATATTACATGACCTGCAAAGACAGAAAATTCAGCTAGAAAAATATCTTCAAGATGTATATACGAATGGCGATATAAATGAACGTGTAAATGTTGACTGCTCGACAAGTGATGGATCAAGCGATGTTGATACTTGTAGCAATTATATAGAAGATTCTAATCTTGATACTTTGCAAAATGATGCGAATTCTTTACAATATACAAGTGTTTACTATATGGTGAGTCCGATTTGTACATTGATAAACAATTTATAAATTTAGTAATGAGCGGTTTTAAATTCATTTTATTGTGAGGCTTGCATTTATGTGCAGGCTACGTAGTACAAACTGGTTACATACTGGTTGCATGCCTCATCATAATTTTGCAATTTTATGTTTACTGATAACTTTAATTTACCCCTTCATTTATTTTATTTATTCAGGGCCAAGGAGAAGATTGTTCTTCGCCGTTCGCGTTGAGTTTATCACGAACAATGCCAGCGTTCAATGGCGAAGGTATTAAAATTATCTCCCGTTTTTGTTCAAATCAAAATATATGTTTTTTGATTTTTTAAATATGTTTTATAGGTGGTGACAGAAATGTAATAAGCGTAACAGGTTTTGTCATTCGAGGCGCTAGAAAGAAAACACACGTGGAATATGAAATCCGTATTTATACTGAAACTGAATCATGGAGTTTGTTGAGACGTTACAGCAAATTTAGAGATTTACACTTGACGATGAAGTCGAGATATGGACAGAAGGTATGGAACGGAATTAATATTAGTATCGCAGTATATACTTATTCTTCAGAACACAAAACTAACGTATTATGATTTTTTCTTAAGCTAACCATGGTTGTATTTGATTACTAGTACTATTTAGTCATAGATAAACAAGTATTTAATAATCTAATATATTTTGTGCGTTGTTTATTTTTCGTTCCCAGGTGGCTGAGCTTAGTTTTCCGCCTCGACACCTATTTTCTTCGTCCTGCTCCGATGAAACAGCGCGTACGCGTCGGTCTGAATTAGACACCTATCTTCAGCGTCTTATCGAGGTCTGCTCCGAAATGCCGGAATGTCCCCTGCACGCCTGCAGGGGGCAACAATTGACCAAGCTTTGTTTGCTGGAATTTAGTGACTTCTTCAGAAAAGGTATGTTTGAAAGCACACGTTACGGTACTAGTTAGAAAGAAAGTTTCAGAAACAATAGTAGAGTAATGTATCGAATTTGGTTAGTTATTAAATTGAAATCTATATTATTTTGGAAGTTGGTTTAGAGAGTTACCAACTTATTTGTTAGTCCGTATTATTTTAAGAGAAATTAAAGGAGTTTATTACAGCTTTCATTAAAACGATACTTCCGAATTATAAACCAAATAGTTTCTCTATTATAATGCTTGGCAAGATTTTTAAAGGATATCTTTTATTCAACTGTAAAACATGCCGTACACAAGGCAAGTATGAAACTTGTGTCAAAAATATTATTATACAAATATTTATTTAATGATACTAAATCTGATTACTAAATCAATTAATGACTCAACTGAATTTTATGGTACATTTTTAATAATATATATTAGTCTTTAATAATATATTAGTAAATTATTAGATCTAGATTTTTCAATATTTAATATTGATTATTTATTTTTTTCAAATTCAAAGGTGTACAATATTTAATTAACTTATTTTAGACTGTTTTATTCACCAAATTTTAATTTAAATTAAAATTAAATTAATTTAGTAGATTTTATATATTTAACACAATTTTAATCAAATCATATCTGATGGATAATAAACATTTGACCTGTATCATGAACAGGATTATTTAAGTATTTTTTATTAAAAAGTAATAATTTGTGTTTTAAATATATAATTATATATATTTTTCTTGTAAGTGGTGCACATGCCAATTAATAAAGATAGTATAATGAAAAAAAACTAATATAAATAGAAGTCGAAGTTATTACATATATTATACTTTCTTTGACAATATACATAAAACCTAATTAAATATGTGTATATAACACATTTAGTATGTAAACGATTTTTATGAACGATTTTCTTCATTGATACCAGTGAATTTATAATTAGTAATTATTTATTTATATGAAATCTATATTTATAATATAGAAATCTGTCTCAGATGATATAATAATATATACCACCGTCAAGATTTTATTACATGAATAGGAGTATTCATACTTAATTAAACCTAGATTAGTTTTGGACTAATATCTGTTTTTTGAGAATGTAATATCTACGGCGCATGAGTATGTGTTAATAATTAATATTTTATTCATTTTTTTATCGGGCGATAAATATTTGTCGCAACATAGAATTTAATCAAAATAATTTTAATCAAAGATTTTATGTGAGATAGTAATTAATTGTTTACCTACATGTATTTCTGCAAAGTGGCTTCCTACGTAGATGTTGTTTCTTTTTATGAATACAGATGTTGTTCATATGGCACATGGTAAAATGGCTAGTGATATTAATATATATTTATAGGCTATTCTATATAAATGTACACACATATCGGATATCTAGATCAAAATATAATCAAGTCAAAAAATCAAAACTATGCGAAATTTAAATAAAGCTGACCAACCGGACAACTAAAAGTCTTTTGATTCCTAAAATTCAAACGCTAAATAAAATAGAAATTGAAATTACTTAAATAAAAATAAGTGAGTACATGGATGCAATATAATATGGTGACACATTATTTTTTATCTAAAAGATAATTTGATTATTTTATTATTTTTTCTTATTGGCGATTTCTGTTTTTTATTATTAATACATATGTTATTTGCGCGATTTCAGATTGTAATTTTGTAAACAAAGTAACTTTTTGAAGATTGATAGTTTTGGTCTAGGTGTACAATATCTGACTGCTTAGAGCTTAGGTGTAGTGCTTTATTAATTATTCTAAATAATATTTATAAATCAATAATTAATAATGCATATTTTGTGAATATCATATCTAAAATATATTGAAGAGAGTAGGATACAAAAATAGCAAGGTACTATTTTAATTAACTCTTAAATCTAGTTTTTGCTACTTAAGTAAACCGATATTTATAATTATCGATAATCGATATCTACATTTTATTAAAACTTCATTTATGCTATTTTTTACAATAGATATTTAATTCGAACTGACCGAAAGTAATTTAAAAAAATATGTGCTGATTTTTGGCATGTTACCTACATAAAATAAGATATTGATTGTCGAAATCATTGTTAAAAATATGTTGTAACTAATATTCAGATGTGTTAATTATTATAGTATTAATACTAAAATTCTCTTTTATAATGCAATTAGTTAGTTAAGATAGTTTTATTAAGACAAAAATAGTTTAGACAAGACTACAAAGAAATTAATTTCTAGTTAATGCATTCGTACTCCATATATTTATTACTCATATGTCATAGACGTTTTCTATTTTAAACGTCATAATAATTAATATTTACTTAAAATTTGTTTAAGGCGTACTAAATATTTTGGCTTTGTTGCTTTTTTTACCGATTATTTGAGATTTAATTTTTTTTATTTGTATACAAAATTTTTATTTTATTTGTAACTAATTATAATTTCCAAGATTGTGTGAGATATTCTTCCATAAAATGAAAAAGCAATATTGATCGAAAATTAGCAGTTCAGTTTTGTAAACAAATATCTATTATTATTTTTCAACTGCATCTATGATAACGTATTATTTGTAAAGTTTTTTTTAGCAGAAACATTAAAAAATTTAAATACTTTTTTTGTAATTTTTTTTATGGGCGTGTTTCATTCGTCTGTTCTTTCCATTAAATTTTATTTATATTATTTGCAAAAGTAAATTTTATTTTTGTTATTTGAATTACCAAAGGATTTATTATATAAATAATTTAAAATTTAAAATGCTGAAGTGAAGGGACCATCATACGAGACGACTTAAACGGAAATAATAATTGTTAAATATAGTGCTTAGCTTTTAAAGTTAACTTATGATTATAAAATTTATATATATATATATATATATATATATATATATATTTATAGCAATCTTTTTGTATGTTAGTGCAATATTAGAATGTAATATATTATTTCTGTACCTATGTTTCAGTTGTATTTTGCAAATAGTTACTTTGTTAAATATAATCTGTTGGTACATTAGGGCGATTGAAAATTATTATTTGAATCTTCGTGTTATAAAACCTTGTTTTTATAAATTGTATCATATGAAGATTAAACTTTGAGCATTGTATTTTTCTTGGAATCATTTCAATAAAATTACTGCCTTTATTTGCATATTTTATTTTAAATGGTATAAAAATTTATGTTTAATTTTGAATTTTAAATTGTATATTTTGTAATTAAAAAATTGTATATTTTTTCCTGCTGGATGGTGACACACATTTAGTGTCGAAACCATTACAAATGAATAATTATGTTATTAATTCATTATTTTTATTTTATGCCTAAAATTTAATAAATGTTTAGTATTCACGTTTGATATTTTTAATGTTTAATATTTTTGATGGATAAGTTTGATATATTATAATATATCAAATTACTTTATACAAACATTACATTATAAAGTAATGTTTAAAAAACATTTTATTTGCAATTACTCGCCAGTATTTTTCTATATCATATAAGTCTACATATGTGCTCACCTATATGGGTAAATTAACAGAAAAGTTACCCCTCTTATATTTTGTGTTTTGGAAACCAGGTGATCGGGTGCGTTGATGCAAGTGTTTTAATAGAAGAGTTGATGTAGATTTTTTGTATAAAAACTGTATCAAATTCAATTTATAATTGAAACTGTAATAATTTTCTCTGTAATTGATGAATATTTTTACTGCATTTATTTATTTTTATTGATAATATTAATAACTATACATGAAAGATTTAAAACATCTGAAATATCTTTAGTCTTAAGACCAACAGGATTTACTAGAATTTTAATGTTGATAACAACAATGAGTACATTAATACTGTGTTACATAATATTATGGAAAATGTGCTATTTTATCTATTTTCGAAAAACTGCAAAATCGATTTGAGAGCTATGTGAGATATACACACATTTATGTATCCCTACATTTATACTTATTTATCTGATATCTATATATAATAGTTCTTGAATACTTATATAAAGATTTATTACGAATACATAACATATATTTAATCTAACAAAAATTTTCCCCCAGATCTCTCACTGATATTTATAAACACAGGTGAATAGAATAACCTATATGAAAACTTTGCATTTCACTTATGTTTTGAAACGATTAGTTTTATCTAATGCACATTGGAGAGCAAAACCATTGAAAGTTTTAAATGTTTCGTGCCAAATAAATACATTTTGTGCTGAAATGTGTGATTTTGCATTGTGAACAATTCCCGCCGTGTGGATGTGAGAATAGTTTTCAGTTAATTCTAGGAAAATTGAAGTGGAAGTCGATTTTGTGAATAGACACCGATGTTTTAAAAAAGCAAAAATTGTAAGTAAATTTTTATTATGTAAATAAGAGCACACTATATCCTCTATAATTTTGCACACCAATTATTTAAAAAATGGTATAAGTAATAGATGGCTCGAGTTCGTGATTTGTCTCTACATCAGTGCCAAATTTAATAAAGAACATATGTTAGCACATGTTATTAATAATTATCTGTTGAAATATAAAAATATGGTAAAGTTTTACAATGATAGAGAAAAGGGAGAGACCAACAATCAAAGCAACTAAAATACATCTCTTGGTTAGATATTTACCATACATAATTTAATATATTTTCTAATAATTCTTTTATAAAATATGTTTTTTTTTAAATTTTTTTTTATGTTTGTAAGTGTAACTAAAAAATGATTTTAAATAATGTAATAAAAGTTTTGAAACCTGATTTGAATCTATGCATATAAATAATTACAATAATTTAAAATAATATTATTAGTGATTTTGTAGCTTTATATAAAATGAAAATTTCAAAGTAGTTGTATATATATAAATTATAATTTTTAATTTGCCTCATCATCACTGTATAATTTAAAAAAAAATTATAAAAGAATTATTAGAAAATATATTAAATTATGTATGGTGAATATAAATATAGTTATTTTTTTTAATTTTTTTTGGTTTCCGTGCTAACAATACCTGTACTTAAACGCTATTGCAAAACCTGAGATAACGATCTTCGTTTGCAATTCTTACGTAAAAATCGATAAATTTTGCATATTATGTGGTAATCTGGCCATTTTAAT